ACTTTTGCTAATAGAATTTCTTTCTTTAAGTCCATAGATTCTTTAATTTTATCTTCTTCTATATCTTGACCTTTGGAATAGATTTTCTCTCCATTTAATTCCTCTTTCAGTATTCCATTCTTTCCATTTTCAGGAACAAACCAATTGCCATAGATATCAGCAGGTTTAGTCTCTTTACATTCATTTTCCACTTCGGTTTTTTGAGTTTCAATCACTCCGTTTTGCATTTGATGAACATCCTCAATTTTTTCATTATATTTTCTTGTTATGTGCTTTAGGTATTGCAGTTTTTTCTCTACTATATTTGATAATTTCTGTAGGTCTGAAAATATATTTTGCAAAGTTAAGACCTCTATTTTCTCTTGACATTGTGCCATTCTAGCAAACACAGCTGCTCTAGCTTGGAAGGTTAATAAAATTAAAGCATAGATTCACAAAGAACGTTGTTTTCCCTTTTCTCTGATTGAAAATATATGTCAAAGGGACATCTGTGTGTTTCCCTTCTTATCACTCTATAGCCAAACAGTAAAACCTTGTGGTGCCAAGTCAAAACAATCAGTGAAAAGAAAAACGTTCCGTTTTGAATACACAAAGCTCTGATCAACAAAACATCCCAGCCTCTGAGCTGAAACACTGTTAAAGAGTTTCTTTTTGTATCTTTTTTGCATTTGAAGTTAGAAAAAGAGGTCCAATCTTTAAATGAATTAGAAAAATGCCCACAGCAATAAAAGAGAAAAACTTTAGTATATAGAATTACAGAGTCACAAGGAGAAGGTAGAAGAAAACTTAATCCATACGTTTCAAAAGGTTTGCATAGATTCAATCCATGAAAATAACATTTAAAAAGTAAGATAACCACTGTCCAAAACCATTCCAAATTTAATTCCGCCGCTTGATTCTTTTATTCTTCAATTTAAATTGATTTTTAAGTTTTTATAGGCAGTCTCTTTTTTTAAGACAATAAAAATTCCTCACCAGCTGGAAACACTTTCTCTTTCCGTATCTTTCCGTTTTGGAGCCGCCCTGACCTTGTCAGCCTTGGCTGGATTTTTTGTTGCCGGCTTGAAGAACTTCTCTTGCTTCTTTCAGGGATTTTGCGATATCCCCGAGATCAGCAAGATGTATTCTTCCTGTACACCATCTCTTCAGGGTGGTTTAGGTCTGTTTGGACCACCCAGCAGCAAAAGTGTTGGCTGTGGTCTCAGAGCATTGACACCACACAACCATATCGTCACAACATTGGCTCCTCCTCTCTCGTTTCAGCAATGTTTTTGATGTACAGCAGTTTTATCCTTTTCATAATTTGTATTGTGCTGTAGTGGATTGAATGATCCACCACTTTTTGGTAAATTTGTTTTTTATTATTATTATTCTTTAATTTAATTTTTTTTAAAAAAATTTCTCGAGACATTAGTGGGGAACCACTGAGACAAACAGTAAGCAATAACCTAATTAAGGAATTGTCAAGGAAAAAAACAAAACCTTCACCAACACTTACAGGCAAGTTACTATATATAAACAGAGAGCAAATCCCACTCCCTTGTAACACTGAAGATATAACCTACCTTCATTACCTTGTAACGAAATGTTTGTAAGCAAACAACCAAGCTCAGAGAACATCAAGGACTCCACAGTTCAACCCTGAGCTATATACAGTATATTCTTTTTTATTGTTATTTGTTACTGGCAAGGCATTATATGGAATATTCCAGTGCTGTATTGTAAAACGCTTTCAAGATAATAACTGTTTGAATTGATCCCAAAAGCTTACTAATAAGCAATTTTTAATCATTTGTATTTTGTCTCAACTATTGGCAACTTTTATTTGCTATATTGTAGAAGCTCATTAAAGAAAATAATAATTGCAAACCAGTTAAATATCTCATATTAAATAAAAAATACCACAGTGTACCACTTAAATTGTTACTGTGGTTAACATTATACTGTGCTGATTAGTCAAGACATTTGTAGGTGTTATAATTCAAGTGCTCATATGCCTTGCATGACTTTTCATTTAAATTCTGAAATCTAGAAGTAGAAATGATCTTTCTCAATTCCATATATATGTGTATATGTATACAGTAGTTAATATATAGATATATGTAATAAGTATAATGTTAACTACTGTACTACACACACACCATGTTTAAGATCCGGTATTATTTTCTTTTGACCTCCCAAAAGAGTCCCTTTAAATAAAGTTGACTTTGGGATGAAAAGAAGCCTTAAAATACTCTCTCAATACACTGTACACTGAATACTGAATTATTTTGGGGGAGGTCTTATTTTTTTTCCCCATGTACCCGTTTGAGGTGGGGGGAAGAGCAAGCGGCCCTCACATCTCGCATTAGCTTCCCAAAGGGTCTCTGCAGCCATCCTACCATCCATGAAACAGATGCTCCTCTGACCACTGCCTCCAGTAAGTGTGGCCGCTTTTCAGTCGATTGTGCCTGAAAAAGCATCAGCAAGCCAAGCAACACATCCCATGTGCCTCACACCCTCCTTACCTAACACTGACGGTAGCAGCAGGCAATTCCATCCATGGAACAGCTACCTCAAGGGTGTCACTCTGGCCGCCTCCTCCAGCGAGCATGGCCGCTTTTGCAGCCAATTGTGGCTGCAAAAGCAGCAGGAGGCCAAGTGCTTTGCATCTCTCGCTGCCTTCCTGAAGGGTACTGTAGCAGCAGCTATGCACAATTTTTTTACTGTTATTTCATCCTGACCGACATGGCCCAGTACAGTGTTAAAAGTTAACATTTCAGAAATGTTACCATAGCTGCAGAGGTCTCCTTCTCTGCCACCACAGCTTCGGAGCAAACCTCTGCCTTCCCTGCACAGGATTGCAAGACTGGAGGCTCCAAAGCCATGAAAGGAGTATTTTTGGATGTGCATCAGTGCAGAGCTCCTCTTTGAAAGGGCGATCAGAAAAATCCCCCACCCCTCACCCGCAGATCACTTTCTGAAAGAGACCTCTACATGTAACATATGTGAAATGTTAACTTTTAACACCATACTCACAGGAAAATCCCCCCTCCCATCACGGTTTGATTTTGCTTGAGATGTGGGCAGGGTGAGGAAAACTGTTTCAGAAAGTTATATGTGGATGGGTGGGAGCCCTGCATAGACTCACATCCAAAAATGCTCCTTCCATGTCTCCGGAGCCTCCATTTCTGAAATGTTAATTTTTAACACCGTACTGGGCCACGTGGATCAGGACGAAATAACAGTTAAAAAAAAGTGGATAGCTACTGCTACATTACTCTTCGGAAAGCCAGTGCAAGGCATGTGAAGGCGCATCACTTGGCCTCCTGCTGGTTTTGCGGCCACAATCGGTTGCAAAAGCAACCGCACTTGCTGGAGGCAGCATCCGGAGCAGCACCTGCAAGGCAGCTGCTCCATGGATGGAATTGCCTGCTGCGACCGTCACTGTTAGGTAAGGAGAACGTGTGACGCATGGGACACGTCGCTTGGCCTGCTGCTTTTGTGGCCACAATCAGGAAAAGCAGCCGCGCTTACACCGGGAGACCTCCGCATGTAACATTTGAGTTTGCACATCTTGCTCCAGTGAGAGAGGTGCAGACCGGGGGCTCTGCAGCCAGGGAAGATGGGGTTTGGGGTGCAAAGGAGGAAGAGGCGGTCTCCCCCTCACTTCACCATCCTGCTTCAGGGCCACCACAGCACTCACAAAGGGGAACACGGTCATAGACACACACACACACACACACACACACACACGATACCAAGCAATTTAAATAAAATTATCGCTGAAATTAATCTTGAGCACTCTTTTAAGCTAATTGTATTAGTAACATCTTTCTGAATACTGATGGTGATGATTTTATCCTTTTTTTTTTTCCTGTACAGGATATACTCTAGCATACATCAAAATGTAAATAACATTTCTATTAGGCTATTTAAGGACTTTATCGTGTTATTTCTGTATGTTACAAATAATATCTTCCTACACATAGACAAGATTAATGAATTTATGGATGGACTTGTCCCAAATTTTCTAAATGTCACACGGTGTGTGGGTACTACAAAATAATGTATTAAAATATATGGTAAATTTGGAGAATGTGAAATTTGGAGAATGTGAAAAATCATAAAAATATAAAATATCTCATCAGCATACTGGCTGTTTTCTCACATAACAACCATGATAGATTTTTATAATTTAATTTAATTAAATTTGAGCAAACTAAAACAATTTAGGTTCAGTTTTTCAAGGGAGTAAAGTATTAATGGGTTGTTTAACCCAATCATAATTAGTGTTTTTTAATAGTGTTGCTATTCCTCTTACCTTGTCCCTTTATGGCACAAACTCAAGAAATATGTCTTCATATGCATATGATAGTTGCTAATAAATCAATAAGCTAATAGGTCAATAAGAAGCCATAGTGTCAAATTTGTTTATTGCCCACTAAGCAAACCTTAGTTTATTTATTGACCATATGTATTTTGGCTTAATGGATCCAGATCCTAGATACAATAAATCAGATTTATGGAATATAATAGCATATTTTTAGAATGTTATACTTTTTTCATTTCATCAAGAAATTGAGATGCATTTTAATGTGTAAAATAAAATTTGCTTCTTTTGTCACTAGTATAAAGTTAAATACTGTCTATATGAGTGAAAATCCACTTGCAATGGAGTTTTAAGCATATTTATTCTCATCAAACTTAATAGAAGTTTCCAATAATTTCTTTAGAATTATAATTGCTCAGTTTAGGCTAGTGGTCAAGGCATCAGACTAGAAACTAGGTGACTATGAGTTCTAATTTTGCCTTGTGCACAAAGCCAACTAGTGACCTGGGATTATTCATTTTTCTTAGCTCTAGGACGGAGTCAATGGCAGACCATTTCTTTAAAAAAATTCTTGCCAAGGAAACTGTAGTGACTTGTCCAGGGACAAGACTAAATGGAAGGCAGAAATAAATTATGATTACATATTTTAATGAAAAAAGCACCCTAATTCATTCCAGAAGGACTAAAAAGTGCTTTAAATGTGAAATTTAAGACCAAGTAGAGTTTAATATTCTTAAATATTTTAAATCTTCAAATATCTTGCTATAAAAATGTATCTTGTTTGCATAGGATATTGTTTGTTAATAAAGCCCATTGATTATTGCATTGAGATGATGAATGATTGAATTATAATTTATATTTGTTCAGTAAAATCATACAGATTTAATAGTGCTTCTTCCATACACTATCATTCCTAAAATGCTCATTTTATTTTAATCTGGGAAGTGATATTGATACATAGATTTATAATAATTTATAAAATACAAATATTCCATTTAATTCCACATAAGCAGTCATTCATAACCAAAATAAGTCCATTTATAATCAAATTCTCATATCATGTTCTTCTCTATCTCTTATATTACGACCAGGCAAATAACTAGTCCTGTCTGTTTAACATGGTCCATCCCCAGCCTGGATAGGGAGAAGCCGGCTGCAATTCAACCCTAGCAAGATGGAATGGCTATAGGTTTTTGTCTTCCAGGGTCTGGAAGTTTGACATTTCTGACTCTGGACAGGGTAACAGTCTCGGGACAGAATTGGTGACTATTTGAGAATCATCCTGGATTTGTAGCTTCTGCTGCTTTTGAAGAGTTGGGTCTTTGCATAAAGTCATGTTGTGCACCAGTTGTGCCCATTTTTAGACCAGGAGACCTTATTCACAATCACCATGACTTAGTCATCTTCCAGTTTGCTTATTGCAGTGTGGTCTATATGGAGAACCATTGATGGCCATCGAGAAGAAGCAACTGATTCAGATTGCAGCAGAATATAGTTCTAGGTACCTCACAGTTCGCCTGAGTTACACCACTATTGCACTGGCTCTCAGTTGTTTTCTGGGTGCACCTTTTGAATGTGCATCACGGCTAGGTTGCTGCCAGTTTTATTACCAGTTTGCAACCCCCGTGCACGTGTGCACTATTCAATGTAAATTGTTCTTAATGCATGTGCAGAACAATTTACAGTGAACTGCACACGCGCAGTCACTAAAAACAAAATGACGACTCCCCGGTGGCGGCAAGGGAACCAGTTCAAAGGTGTGGCAAGCAACCCAGGCCTGAATTCCACTACCAGTTCAGCTGAACCGGGAGCAACCCACCATAATGATGTGCATTATGACTTTAGCACACATATGTTAACAAGCTACAACCTTTGTCATTCTGATGAAAATAGCAAACCTCTGGTACAAATAGCATCTGTGGAATACTATGGCTCAGTTTATTACCATAGATTTACACAGTTTACTGATTAGAAAACAAAGGTTTTTTTTTTAATTTAAATGATTGCATTTTAAAAAATAATATATATATCCTATTTTTTCCCATTCAGTATTTAGTTTTTCTGAATCTTGTAGTTCAGCTAGAAAAAAAATTGAGAGAGAGAAATAGAAAAGAGATTTGCTACTTTCTTAATAATCCATTCCTTAAAAATCTTCTGCATATATAAATGCTGATTTAAAAGATTTTTTTAAATGTATATTGTAGTGCAGTGAAGTTTTATTTCTTCATGTATTTAGACAATAAAAATATAAAATATACTATTTCCAACTTCCTCCCAAATATCTCTGTTTTCTTTCTTTTTTATTCTTAATTATTTTAGAAATCTTGCAAATGACTTATTAAATCATGGCTAAATAATACTACATATTACCTCAACATTATTTTGGAATTATGAAGTAAATTTACCTATCTTAGTATGTAATAACTCATTTGGATCATTTTTCTGATGTCACAAGTTTAAGACAAGCATAAAATGTTTCCTTTAATGTAATTAAAAGCAATTTACAAAAAAAAGAATTGTTTTAAAAACATGCTTATCATTTAAAGTGATTTATTTGCATTGTGTTTAAAATATTGCATGGTGAAATTTATTTTGTGCATATGCTTTTTATTTTACTAATATTATGAGCCATATTTCAATTACCCCTGTCCATTTTTCATGCTGTCTTAATCCCAATGGCCTCTGTGCATGTAAGTAACCTGTCAAGTGACAATGCCTTTTTATTTGCTTCTTACTATTTCCCTTCAATAACTCCTTTTATTTATTACATAGAACTGTAGAAATGTTTAAAAGGTTGTAAATGTGTCCCTGTATTCCTCTAATATGTGTACATTTTTTTAATTCTGTCTAGAAACCTGAATTAATATTTAACGTGATTTGGTTTTTTTCTGCTTGTTTGTATTGAGGCTCTCTCACTATATGTTATGTTTTTAACTATTAAGAGGTGGCCTTGAAAAATACCAAAAATTTAAATTCCAACCAGTTTTCATCTAGTACATAATACATTTTGTAAATTTGATGAGCATGGAAATACAACCTAGATTTTTCCTTAAGGAAATGATTAGGGGTTTATGTTTTTCAAAAACTATATTAAATAAGATTACTTTAAGTAGAAAATGAAAATGTAGTTAAACCTTATTTTAGTTCTGAGAAAAATAATATAGCTCAAAAAATAGAAATTAATGAAAGTTAATATAATTTTTTTATTAGCAATAGTAGCTATTAATCTTGATTTATTAACATATGTATGTCCATATTTACTGTCAGGAGAGACTCAGATCATAATGGCTATATGATTTATATTATAAATAGGTAGATTTATAACATAAAGATTTATAACACAAGACAACTTACATGTCAAATTTGCTAAACCAGAAGATAGTAAAATATTCCACCAATACATGAAATACATAGCTTGGCAGAATTTCAGGAAGATATGCCCAATCAAATGTTTGGATGACTGACTTCTTAATCTCTATTAAATATAAAACTGTATTGTAATATACAGTTTGTATTGTAATTACATTGTATTGTTGGTATACTAATTCCTTCCCTGTTTCCCTTTCTGTCTTTTTGAAGATCATTTTTCTGGTACAACGTTTAATAAAATAGTTTATTCACTCTTACATTGCATAAGAAACTCAGATATGTCATTACATTATTATAATACAAATAATTTCATTACTTGGCATAGAGAGGAAAGAGTATTTTTAATATGATTTACTAAACTATTGCAGTTGACAGTGCATTGAGATTCTCAAATAATTGACCATTGCATAAAGACAATTGAGGAAATCTTTTCCATATTGATTCTGTTAAAATGGTTGCTTTATAATTTGCAGTAAAGCCTTTTTTTTTGTCCATCACTATCCAAATTCACAAGAGCATGCTAATATAAAATATTAAATTGCAAAGACAACTATATTCATGGTACTCTGATAATTATACTTGGGGTGTTTTTAATTGAGCATAATGCTAATACACACAGACTACAATAAAACTGTTATCAGGCAGATTTTAATTCATTTTTATAAGCTAATAAAATATATTTAAATCTTTAAATAGATGTTATCACATGTCTATTAGTTTATCATTCCTTAAAATAATTTCTAATGAGAGTCTTAGAAATTTTCAGAAGTGCTGATACTAGCAGTGTGCCTATTTGCATGATGTCACCCACAAATTTTTGAGCATGTAATTTGTAATATATTCTTGTTAAGTAAAATATTTAGTGAAAATGTAATAAAAATCCTTGAAAAATAAAAAATAGAAAAATATCAGACATTTTTCCTCTATATCTGTTGTTTTTTCTCCTGTTACAGTGTTCGATCAATTAGATCTTGTCACCTATGAAGAAGTGGTAAAATTGCCTGCATTCAAAAGGAAAACACTTGTTTTATTAGGTAACTTTAATGTTGAGCCTGTAGTAATGATATAATATAACTATATTATATTGTTAGTTCTTTGTAATAATATCATTTTTTTCATGTTAGGAGCACATGGTGTTGGGAGAAGACATATTAAAAATACACTAATTACAAAACATCCAGACCGATTTGCATATCCTATTCCACGTAAGTAAAAATTTTGTAAGATAGATTGTTAACAGCTCAGAGTCATTAGGAGTTCACTAGGGTGGCCAAACTAAATAAATCATGATTATGCTCATAGAAAGGAAGCCGTTTTTTAGAAATCTCTCAATCTTTTTTGATTTTTTTCAAAAATAAAACTATCACAGTTTTAATTGTTTTCATTGATTTAGACAAAAATTCAAATGCAGAAATTAATATTTGATAGTGTTTTCAAATGAATGAATGAAATTAATACCTAAACTATTACCTATAATAATTCCTACATACCCACTATGTATTTTTATTAGTATAGATGAATGTAAAATAAGTCTGGGTTTGTTGTGCCTAACTTTTGTAACTGTAGATACAACCAGGCCACCAAAGAAAGATGAAGAGAATGGAAAGAATTATTACTTTGTATCACATGACCAAATGATGCAGGACATTTCCAACAATGAATATTTGGAATATGGTAGCCATGAAGATGCAATGTATGGGACAAAACTGGAAACAATACGGAAGATCCATGAACAGGGATTAATTGCAATACTTGATGTAGAGCCTCAGGTAGATATAATATTCATGTGCCTATTTTATCGGACAAAGAAAATATTTTCCTTCCTATTGGGTATAATGAAAAAATGTTAGCCTGCTAGAAAATGCTCTTTCCAATTGTCTTTTACATGAAGAAAAACATTTTTTTTTCTTTGCTTTGCCAAATAAAAAGGTGTCAGAGGATTGATGGGTCAATATGAACTAGAAGTGGGGACAAGAATATCTATGTTACTTTATATTAAAGTTTATATCATTCTATGTTATACTCACTTAGGCCTTGAAGGTCCTGAGAACTGCAGAGTTTGCTCCTTTTGTTGTTTTTATTGCTGCACCTACAATTACCCCAGGCATTAATGAGGTAAGCCTTGTTACAATGAAATACTAGTGTAATTGAATGTAGTGTAATAGCATTTGGGCAAATTTGAGGAAGTCTTAAATGCAGTATGTTTCGTCTCTACATGTTTAGCATATGCCTCTTTGTTTTTCGTTTTAGAACATAATTTGCATAAATATTTCTTTTTCTTTACCTGTCATACTTTTTTTTTAAATTTTTACCTTGTTTTTCTAAGGCCATGTCTGTACCAGCTAATTTTTGCATAGTTTAACCAAGCAGACATTAGACTGTGAAAATAGAAGCTCATCCAGTTTCTCATTACAGATTTTTCCTGGCCAGAAATCTACTTCTTAGTTTCTTTAGAAAAAATAGATCTTTAAAGGGATAATAATAATTCCCTGATTGAATATACACAAAGGAAATGTTATCCAGCTCTAGCCATTATGAAACATAAATAAGCAATACCTAAATAAATTGAAATAAAAGGTTATTAGGATTACTGTTACAGACATATCCTATATGATTGCATTATTGTTGTTTTTTTATTTATTATCTTTGCTTTGCTTTTTTCTCATTTTTCTTATACTTGTACTGATTCTATCTAGCTGCCAAAATGGTGCAGAAAATTGCCCGTAAGTACCAGCTAGGATCAAGTATTATGCAGATTTTGTTATTTTAATATTGTTTGAATAAAAATAGTTGTTTTCAATTAAATGTAACCTATATGTCATAGCTATTTATATATTTCCTTATATTTTTAATTTAAAACTGACAGTATGCATATAGGCCTTCAGATGCTGTTGAATTATAGCTCAAAACAAGTAATTCATAAGAGCTGTAGTTCACCAATGTCAGAGAGAATGATGTATAAAATCAATAGGAATAATTTCCCACGGGAAAAATGACCTCACATTAGGCACCATGCAAGTATCCTTTGTGGGAGGATACCATAGTCCAGGTGATTTCCCCAGTCACTACATTAGGAAATGTTGATTGTTTCTCATTTGGTAAAGAGTTAATTATCTGGAGCTAGATAAGTGCTTCCTTGCATTTTTCTGCACAATAGAAAAACTGTAACTAGATTTCACCATAGTGTTTATTTATTTAAAACATTTATATAGCCCCCATTATAACAGACTGAGCAGCTCCTAATCTATTGTAGTTTCCATAGAATTAACAGGCTGGATTTAGGATAGGAATTTTCAAATTTTTAATAATTCTTTACAGCATAATATAGGTAGTTCTTGGATTACAATGGTAATTGGGATGGACTACAGTTTCCATCGCAAAGCATTGTGACTATAAAGTCTGACATACATTAAATAAACCATATCACTTACTAATGGCTATTAGTATTATTATTATTATTATTATTATACAATTGTATCACAGCGGCCAGTTGTTTCGCCGGATTTGGCATTGGTTACTAGTTGGGCCCCACCCAGGGGCCTAGGACATCGTAACGTATTTTAGTAATATGCGTGCAGATCCAAGCAGTGCGGCTTTTTGCATTTGACTGATGGTGATTTTGTCAATTTTTAACTGTTTTAAATGTAATTCCAGTGCTTTTGGAATAGCACCCAGTGTGCCAATAACCACTAGGATTACCACTGCTGCTTTGTGCAAATTCCAGTGATGATGATGATGATGATGATGATGATG